GGCGCCCAGCGCCCACCGGACGAACCGGGCGCAGGGGCGAACCGGGCGACCAGTCATTCCTCCTGGCCTCGCGTAACAAGCAAACAAACAAAACAGACTAACATCACGACCAAACTTCCTAATTAGTAGTGCCCTTCTGCCCCACCCCCGATTTCTCTTTTAGAGACCCAGGAAAAAGGAAACATTCGATTATCACTCTATTTTACACGTAAGGTCTTCAGCCAGTCATATTCTTTTGCTTGCCCCTTTTGATCTTTCTTTTAAGCCTTTCTTTACGGGGCAGAAAGGCCTTTCTTGCCCCTTTCCTCAGGCGGATTAAGTCTGAAGTGTAAACTCCTCCTCCAAACCTTAGACCCTTGTAGCTCCAAATCTCTCCCCACCCCTACCAAGCCCACCCGTTACTCCTCCCCCCACTCCCCAACACGAACACGCCCCAGGACCACGCTCCCCAGCGAACTCACCACCCCCGGGACCAGCACCCAGGGCACCGTGCAGGCAGGTGGTCAAGGGAGGTCAGATCCCAGCGGTATGGGCGGGGGTGGTCACAGGGGCCCAGGGAGGGAGGCTGTGCGTGTGACCGCGCGCGCGTGAGCGTGGAAGGGACGAGCGGCTGGGTCGGAGTCTCCTATTTCACCCAGCCTCCACCTTTTCCCAAAGCCCTTTCCCTCCCTGCTAGGATCAGCCCTGCAGCTGAGCACCCGCCCAGCACCCACCGGTCTGCACTGGGGGCCAGGGGAGTAGCAGGAGAGCCAGCAACAAACCACCCGGGCGCAGCGGGGAAAAGAGTGAGACTCACTTCCCAACCTGCAGATGCAGTCCAGGAAAGGACCAGGGGAGCCTGGGGGAAGGGACCAGCGGACCAAGCGTGCAGAACCTCGTAGTTGGAGATAATTTAACTGCCCGTTAGACCCCACTTGCTCCGGGTTCATTCTCTCTAAATTTACCGAGTTAAGTCATCTCGCTTTCTCCCATGTGTCATCAAAAGAAGTGCGTGTGGGGGGAGGGGATCACTTAGGGGTCGCTGAGAAATGGACAGTCCAAGAGCGGAGTTTCCAGCTCCTGCCACCTCCTTCCCCACCGCACCTCCATCCCTGCAAGGTGGACCTCATCTCTGAGACCCCCCCACCCTTTACTTCCTGAAGACTCAGTCGCTGCTCACGTAGTGGCTCTCCAGGACCTACTGACTCCCGCGCGAGTGGGGGAGGGGAGTGAGTGAATATCCCGTCCCCTCCTGCCCTGCATTTGAGGTGGTTAAGGTGCAACGCACTCAGTTTCAACCAGAGTCCAAGTTCAAAACAATGCCAGTTCCTTGGATTTGTTTGAGAAACTGGTCGAATACCAAGAAGCACCCACCAGGTCAGGCCGAATCAGATGCAGAGGGAGCTGCGGGGTCGGTGGAGTGGATGCGGAAAAGCCAGGGAGTGGGGGAGGGGGGGGCTGTGTACTCGACAGATTGTACCTGCCTGGTCATTATCCTGGCTGATGGGGTTTGCCACATCGAAAACGGCCAGAAGCGCCCACGGAGGCCCAGGGGCGTCACCTCCCGCGGTCCCTTGGAAGGGTAGGGCTTCGGTGGCTCCCCTTCTGCCAAAGTACAAATGTCTTCCTCGGCCAGTTGAGGCTGCTGAGTCTTTCCCCCTACCCCACCACACAGCACATAGCACCGTGAAGGTTCCGACTGGCTAGCGCCCAGGGGCTTTGGTTCCCCCTCTGCTCTGGTCCGCCTCCCTGCCCTCCCCCACTTCCCGCACTTGCCCCCTCCCCCACGCTTCTCGTAGGTCACTGGAGAGGTCCAAGTCGCCTTTGACTCCACTGCCAGAAGTCTAGGGGCTCCTTTCTGAAGCGTCAGGCCGTCGGGGAACCTGAAGGTTGTAGGGAGAGAGTTGACTGGCTCCTGTTGCAGCGAGGAACGGGTTAAGTACATGTGCGGGCTGATCCGCCTGAAGCTCCTCGGTCACTGGCAGTCTGGAGGGAGAAGGAGAAGCGGGGACAAGCTTAAATTTGAGAAATGAGAAGAAAAGAAGAAGGGCAACAGTGAGTTTCAGGACCCGTGGCATGTGCTCTGTAGATGCTTTTCACTGGCCGCCTCACTTGGCCAGGACTCTGGCCACCACTGGAAGAGTTTGTATTGTTTTCCAAGGAGGGGTTTTGTCTTGAGCTGGTGGGTCTGACTTTGCGTGCAATCAACAAGCCTTGTAATATGAGAGGTGACACCTTAATCTTGCCAAATATGTGTGTCGTCTTTGGGCGGAGAGGGGGAGGGACTGAGGAGAGCAGAGAGGAAGAGCGATCTGGACTGGAGCTGAGGGCGAAAGGCACTTTGCCGAGCGCGACGGCTTTCCCAAGTGGAGAGCGTTTGCCCTTTGTGTGCGTGCGTGGAAGACCTCTGTTCAGAGTCTACCGTGAGCAATCTTCGTCTTCCTTGACTATTTTTTCTTCTTCAGAGCTAAAGGTGATCTCTTCTCCTTTAAGAAAGAGACTGGCCCCCGTGGTAGAGACTAGGTGTGACAAGAAAAGGAGAGACAGAAAAAGAATTAGATGTCATTGTTTCAAAGACAGAATAAAAGATTAGTCTACATAATGTCCACTCATTGTGGAACTGCAGAACATTGCGACTTCTAAGAAACCTGTGTGAATCAATAGAGGGTTTTCTCTTTTAGGAAAAAGCCATAGTGGTGTAGAGAGCTGAAGCAAGGAGCTGAATCCGGGTGGGTAGGGGTGGGGTAAGCTGCTGAGTCCTGGGTCTGGAAGCCCATCCAGCTAGGTCTTTTCTCATTGAGGTCACTGCTGCTTTCTAGATGGACTCGGGCTTGGCCTCCGCTGTCTATCTGTTGACTGTGTTTTCAGGTTGCTGAACTCTCCTTTTCTCCCTGCTCCTATGAGTGGAAGGCCCCCGAAGGTGGTTTGTGGGGGCAGGAACCAGATCTAGTTTTTGAAAGTCCCTTTCAAACTGTCTTAAAGCAAATCTCCAGAGCATGCCTTCTGCCCACCTTATCTTTTGCAATAGCACCACTCTGTGGTTGAAATACTGAACAGAAACAACATGGAAAACTTGGGATGGATCATGCCTTTATCTTACAAAAAATGACATTTATTTACTCTGCTCTGGTCCAATGGGTAGTAAGCGGGGGAGGGGTGCTCTGCCAGTGGCGGGGACAGGGGTCTTGTGTTGTAGCTGCCTCTGGTTAATTCATTGTGACATGTTGACCCCGGAAATGTGACAACTGGCCCAATGGCCTCGAAGGACCCTCTCCTTTCAGGCTGTAGTTGGCAAGGACAAGGAGGAGCTAGGCTGTTTTCCCCATTATCACCTAGCCAGCCCTGAATGCCCTCTTCCTTCACTGCTTTTCTTTTCCTCTCCTTTGAAATTACTAAAGGATCTCCACACATCAGTGACCTGTCTTCAGCTGCTGAAGGGCACTGTGGAGGTTTGGCAGGGTGGACGCAGGGACTTTTTCTTGCCCTAGCCCACCTATCCCCACCCCCAGCACCCAGACAACTGCTGGAGCTGGAGCTGATGGAGCCTGAAAGCCTGCCATTCTGAAACAATTAAAGTGAATGCAAAAGGTGTTTGCATAGGGACTGAGAACTTGGGATCCTACTACCCTGGCTCCTCAGCACTTAGAAGGTTCCTGGATGTCTCCTTTCACCACCACCCCCATTATTACAGACATGCTGAACAGGAGAGGAACCAGCAGTCATGCAGGCTACCAGGCCTGCAGGCATCCCCTCCCAAATGCCTTGGAGTCCTAAGTGAAGCATTATTCTGCGCCCCCCCCCCCAAGGCTGCAGTAATCCACAGAAACTGAGTGGCTTTTTTATGTTTATTCAGCAAACACAGGCCTTAGGCCTTCCTTACCATGTCTATCATGTTAGGAAGCACAACTTTGATTCAAAGACCACCATTGATCTTGAAACAGAGCAGGGGCTCCAGAAATCAAACTCTATTAGCCCTCATGTCTCCACCCCATATTTAATAGTCAAGGAAACTGAGGCTCCAGTCTTCCAGTGATTTTTCTTTCTTTCTTTAATTTTTTTGGAGATGTTTTTGCTACAGGGCATGCAGATAGAGAGAGACAGAAAGTGAGAAATCAACCCCCAGGGGGAACGGCCACGCCGCAACCCCTTCTCCGTTCTCCTAT